AGCCCCCTTTATAATAAAGGGCCCCCAGATATCCATCCCCTTCCAGGTTATCAAGAGTCATGAATTACAGCAGAGAGATCTCATTGTTGGAGTATCCAGGACCTATAAGAAGCCAATGGCTGAGTCAGCCCACCAGGCTCCACCTAAAATAAGTATATTTATTTTTGATGGCCTGACTTTTTAGATTGGCTGATTTAAAGAAAATTAGGTGAATTGCTAAATGGAATTTCCAAAAACTCAGCACTGTCCTCTGTTGCTCTGCAGTATTATCTTAAGCAGTGCTATCAGCCTTACCCAGATTTCCTCTGTAAACTACGCACCTCCTCTTATGTTATACAGATGAAGGGGAGGGTTTTTGTAGCCCTATAGTACAGTGATTGAGTGTTGTCACCCTAGAATAATGCAGACTCATTCTTTCCAATGGCATAATCATGGGAAAAAATGGTGGCTTCCCAAAGCAAAGGATGGGGCCATGACAAGCCTGCACAGTATGAAGAGGAGCCAGCAGGACATTTTGTAGATTAAAATACCATGCGGTTTAATGCAAAGCCACACAGTAAATCTCACTGGATCGAGCCTGAAGGTAAGTATTTATCCAGGTGTACTGTACTCAAGGAAAAGGGCAGTGGCGGAACTATTGCCATAGCAACCCAGGCGGCTGCTATGGGGCCCGGGGCACAGAGGGGCCCGGCCAGGATGACAGGATGAGGGAAAAAGGGGTCTCCCTGATGCTGTGCCGGCCGCCTGGGTCGCTATGGCATCGTAGGCTGCTGGCGGTCACTGGCGTCTGTGAGGAGGAACGCGCCGCTGTGCAGCGCACGGACACCCTGTCAGTGATCTGTGCAGCGGCACGTTCCTTCTCACAGCCGCTGCTGAGTCAGTGACAGCCAGCAGCTGCGGAGGAGGAGGCTGAGCCCAGCGCCGGCAGCAAAGGAGGAGGCGGGGCCCAGCAACGGAGGAGGAGGCGGCCAGCGACCGTGGAGAAGGAGGAGGCAGGGCCCTGCAGTGGTGGAGGCTGACAGGTAAGAGTTGTGCAGGGGTGTGATCAACCCACCTGAGACCCTGCCGAGCCCCCCATAGAGATTCTATGGGGGGCTCGGCAGGGTCACTCTCAGGTGGGCTGTTTTGGATCTCAGGTGGGCTCTGCAAGTAGTGTAACTAGAAATCACAGGGCCCCATGCAAGATTTTGCTACGGGGCTATGTGATTTCTAGTTACGCCCCTGGAAGGGGGGGGCAAGTAATTAAAGGACTGCAGCAAAGGTACAGTACTCTTTTTCTTCTCACACTCCAGGCCTGCTCTACAGAGAGTTCAAGAGGCTGATACCAAGTCATATTCAGGTATTTACACTGCTTGCATTTAAAAATGCACATCATTATGTATTAATTATTACAGAGCTGAATTCATTTGTATCTTTTATATCTGCCTAGCGTTCAGCTTTAGGCATTAGGGCAGCCAAGCTGCAATTTCCATCTAAACTCCCTTCCCTACTTTAGAACTATGTGTACTACACATTGCATCTATCTGGTAAAAGGAGTAACAACATTGTATAGAAATGTGAGTTCATAGAGAACTTCAATTCACAAGTCTTCTTTTTTTAATGCCTCTTTCAATAAGTTAATGGTTACAGTGAGAGGGTGAAAACGTTGCCCTTTAATTGTGTAGGTGGCACTATACTAAACTGTATTTTTGTATAACAGAACGATTGGCCGCGTACCCTCCCACTGAATGCTCTTACAGCACATGGCACACAGAAAAGTGTATAAATTGTATCTAAAAGCACACTCCATTATGTCTAAGATACAAACGAAAAAGGAATTTTTTTCAATAGAACAAAACAAGTAATTTATATTAAAAAAAAACTGTATATTCCATTTATCACACTATAAAGGAACCATTTCCTTTGTTCACTGAACAAAACTCTCTGATTCAGACTGCCCCCAGGGACCCAGTTCTTCTATGAAGCATAGGGAAGCTGAATCCATGTTGTCAACTGTTCTCTGCAGGATAGCTGGGCCCATGGGGCCCTGTCAGCAGCCAGGGCAGGGCTGGATTATGTCATTGCCAACAAAGGCTGTGGCCTACGGCAACATAGCCATCCCCAATATGGCCAAAGTTTGCAGGACACCCTATTCCAAAACCATGAGTATTAATATGGCTCCCCCCTACAGCCACACTCTTCTTAGGAAGACTTTCCACAAGATTGTACAGTGTGTCTGGAAAAATGTTGCACTTACAGACAAAAGAGCATTTGTGGGGACGGATCCTGAAGTTGTATGAGAAGACCTAGCTCACATTTGGCATTTTAATTCATACAAAAAGTGTTCAGGTAGGGTTGAGGTGAAGGCTCGTTGCAGGCCACTCGAGTTTCTCCACACCTAACTTATCGAACCATGTCTTTATGGCACTGGCTTTCTACACAGGACACCGTCATTCTGAAACAGAAAAGGATCTTCACCAAACTGTTACCAGAAGGTTGGAAATTGTCTAAAATAAAAGTACTCTTCAATGGAACCACCTGAACTCTATAATTTAGGGTGCCAACATACTTTTGGTTTAATAGGTAGGTGGCATGGTCAGGTGGCCACAAATGTTTGGCCAAATAGTGTATATCTCCCTTTTACAGTAACTCAATTTAAAGTGACATTAAACTCAGCAGTTACATTTTAAAAATGCATTCAAGTACCTTAACTATTATCAACAGTGTATCTTATTTGTGTATCACTCGGCTGTAAATCCTCCAATCATCTCTGAATTGGTGCCGACACTGTCCTTCCTTCTGGAGGGGGGGTACTTTTGTTCCCCATGGTCCCTGTGTGTGTTGTAAAGTAGTCACCGCTCCAAGCTCGCTCCCAGGATGGACTACAATCTCAGGTTTAGTTTTGGGATTGTAGTCCATCTCGGGAGTGAGCTTGGAGCGATGACTACTTTACAACACACACACGGACCATGGGGAACAAAAGTAGCCCCCCTCCAGAAGGAAGGACAGTGTCAGCACCAATTCAGAGATGATTGGAGGATCAACAGCCGAGTGATACACAAATAAGATACATTGTTGATAATAGTTAAAGGAGAACTATGGGGTTAAGTCTTTTCCCCATAGTTCTCCTTAGGGTAACGGGAGGACATTCCCGGGACAATTGTCGGATCCCGACAATTGTGCCGGGATCCGCCCAGCTGCATGACTGACAGCTGGCTCTGCCTATCTAAAGGCAGAGCCAGCTGTACCCGCCCCCTCCCCCATCCGTTCTGCCAGTCAGCGCTGGAGGATCGGAGCGGGGAGGGGGGATCCAGCCCCTCCCCTGTCACGGCAGAGAGCCGTGACAGGATCGAGAGGTGAGCGAACGCCGGTATGTGTTCCCTCACCTCCCGATCTACTGAGCCGACCTGTGACAGTCTCATTGTCACAGGTCGGCCAGAACTATGTGGTGAGGGAAAATCACTCACCTCATAGTTCTCCTTTAAGGTACTTGAATGTATTTTTAAAATTTAACTGCTGAGTTTAATGTGACTGTAAGTTAACATGCTCCATCCTGCAGTTGGCTTGGAGTGCTACTATGGTGTAGCATTCTGATGTATCAGAATGGATCAAAAGCTGCAGTAAAAAGTGATTTTGTACCATACATCAGTGAGCTACACCTTTCAGAGTCCAAAGCATCGGTTTCCCCGAGTACCATCTGTACATTTAAAAAATAAGTGAATAAACTTTAGTTACGGAAGAATTATTTTGAACCTGTTGCAAATTCTTAATGTGTGAATGTAGAATTTGTCACTAATGTAACTAAATAAATCAAATTTAATTAGTAAAGACATTTCTTCTTAAAAAGATAAATCTCACACTTTCGCTCAGATTCCCTCGGGAGGGAAATTTGTTTTTTTTTATTGTCATTTTTATTAGTAAATGCACTTCACAAACAGACAGCTCACGACACACTCCAATTTACGTGTTGAATTTCCCCCGTGTGATTTGTCCTTAGATGTTCTTATCCGTAAATAGCGCCTTTTGCTCAGCTAGTAAACTTTTAAGCTTTATTTTAAATAATTTAGATGGATTATAAGTTTCTATTCACTCTCTACTCCTAAATAAAAGAACCATTCTCATTAGATCCCACATGCTCAGGGACCAGATGGGCTGCCGTAATGTAAACTACCCCTTTAGCAGTCAACAGAGTGGATCAATCCAATTTTCTATAAATCAGGATTCAATTTAACCTTCATTAACAAGCTTTTCATTATGTCACCAACTTATAATGTATTTTTTTTTATGTGTTCAGAAAGTGCCACTAGCAGGATGGATATAGGCTCTCTCCAAGGTGTGGGCTCTAGAAGTACCATATCTTGACCAGTGCCCTTGATGATAGAGGTGGACTCTAGGTAATGAGCACTTTCAGAGTTCAGTCAATAAGATAGCTTGACAAGCAAGTTCGACTTCAGGGTTAGGCCAAGGGGTGTATCCAGCCAAGTACAGACAGTGCCATAGTGTTAGAGAGAAAGGCAAGTAGGGAGTATAGCCACCAGTTTCTAGAGGTAACCAGAACTGAGTTTTAAATTTAGAGTATGGAATAAACATATAGTCAGGAAACCAAGCAGAATTAAGAGCAGGTGAAGAAATAAGGTCGGAAGGCATGCTGATCACCGTTGACTTATGAGCTGGGTATTGCAGGTGGTCAGGGCGAATCAAGATTATAGGAGAAAGTAGAAAGCTTAATCCACCAGCGCCAAATAACTTATCCACAGGTGTTATGGACTGCCATACTGTGGGTTTGAAGGTCCTCTGTTGTGCGTAGTGGATGGTGTACTATGGTGTCTCCACATGCTGGTTGATAAGCTGGAACACTCAGCTCACTTGTGAGTACCAATGCACTCTTTTTATATGTTTGCAATACAATTTTCTACACTAGGGGAGGCGCCTGTTTGCTTTTGTTTTGTAGAAGAGTATAGGAGAACCCAAAGACAGGGTCCAGAGACCACTGAGTCCCAGGAAATGCAGAAGATGAAAACAGAGGTGGTGAGCCAGGTGTCTGATTCCACACTAAGCCAAGACAGCCAACCACCATGTGGGCAACTGCTATCCACCTGAAAGCGGCGTACTCATGGCAGGTAAGTTCCTGACAATTATCGTGTGTTCTTACCAAACACAGAAAAAAAGATAAATGTACAATCTGAAGCCTCAAATATTGAGCTTTATTAATAGAGCTGGTGTCTGTCCCCTGAAAAAAAAAGTGACAACTTACCTATCCTCAAATTCATTGCTACCAAAAGAGGAAAGAGAACATGAGTTCCAATGAGTTCCACACCAAAAAGTTTTGGTTCAACAAAAATGTATTCAATCAGAATTATCCAACAAAAATCCAGCAGTAGTCAACACTTTTCAGGGGCTAGGGGGTGTCCCCCTCATCAAGGCTTCAGGTGTTTATTTGAAATTAAAAAAAAATAGACTCTTGCAAGGATTTGAAGGCTTCCTGATACAAATGCAATTTTTAGTATGCATGCTCCTCAGCAGCTGGTTGTTGCAACTCGAGCCTTTATGAAGGTGGCACCTTTGAGTCTTTGAAATTCCTTGGTTACTTCTGTGAATTTTTATTTGATTATTCAAATTAAAACAATATTAGTTGGACCCTTATGGTGTGGCACTTATGTTTCTCTTTCCTCCTTTGATGTATTCTGAGGTGTTCTTTGAGACTTCTCTTAGCACACAAGCTGTCCAATGCAAACACACTCCTATCCTATAACTCCACCTAACCTTGTGGAATAATACCTGTTATGGGAGTCCAGCACCACCCACCCATTCTGTTGACTTACATTCCCCAGTGGCCTATAGAAAGAGTTGCAGAACTGTGGACAATGACCTTGTAAATAACCTTTTTGGCTTTTTTGACTAATTAGTAGTGATGCAACGATACCATTTTTTCCAGACCAAGTACTGATACTTGTCCAAGAACTCACAGATACAAGTACTGATACATTTTTGTTTAGTGTCATGTGACAGTTTTTCTAAAACAATACAAATCAATGATTTCAGGATAGTGGTGGAGCGCCAGAGCCCGGTCCCAGCAACCCTGGTCGTTCTCGTGAAAATGCCAACTATCGGCTCTGGTATCTGAACATCCCTACTATTTAGATAAAAGTCTAGGACTAGCGTAGATAAAATAAATTAACTTCTAAAGAAGTACCTTAAAGAAAAGCCAAAAAGACAGAGATAAAGTGCTTCTTCCTCAGCTGGTTGTTGCAATAACTCGAACCCTGATGAAGGTGGCAGCTTTGAGGCCCCAGGTTATTCTTGTGGATTTTAACTGGATTATACAAATTAAAGCAATATCAGTTGTACACAAACTTTTAAGGCGTGGCTCCTGTATTTCTCTGTCCTCTTTTGTTTATTACGGAGGTGTTCTTTGAGACCTCTCTGTGCACGGGAGCTACCCAATGGAAACATACTCCTAGTCACTAACTAGCATTAAAAAAAACAAAAAACTTTATAGATAAAATAAATTCACTTCTAAAGAGGTAGCTTGGAGAAAAGCCAAAGAAACCAAGATAAAGTTCTTCCTCTGCTGCTTAAAAAAATTCCCAGATTAAGTGTTGCAACTCAAAATAGGTGTAATTAACGTGTACTGGCAGCTCATCTATGCCTCGGAAAAGTTCAATTTGCTGGTAAGAAGTTCTGAAACCACGCTAGATATAATAAGGTTACAGCAACCAGAAGCTTTGGCTGTCAAGAAGTTCCACGACTGCATTTAAAGCTAAGCAAATTAGATAACAAAGCAAATTTTGTCGCTGGAAGGTTTTGAGCTACGTTGATTCTCCAGAGAATAAAAGACACGCCGCTACCCTTGCTTTAAGAACAAAGAGTGTTTTTAAGTCGAGGAATCTTCCTGTTTATTGCTGTAAGTTCACCTCTGCCTGTACCCACAGTCAAACCCTTCCGCAAGCTTCAAAGGGCAGCCCATCAGTTGGATTTGAACATGTCTACTTAACAATAGAGACAACTTCACTGTGTTTTTAGAGTAACTCCACTCTCTATAGGAGATGGGGGAACTGGTTTGCACAAGTTTTTTTTTATTTAAAAGTCCAACAGTTGAAAAAAAAATAATAATAATAATAATGCCGCTTTTGCTGCAACACTTACCTCCTATCCAGCACTGTCAACTGCAGAACCAACCACTTTGCAAAATAGCGCTCATCAATTTTCCAGGTTCAACCAACTTCCTCTGAGTAGAAGGCCTCATGGTCCCACCCCATGAGTGGGCATCACTACAGTACTTACAATACAATGATGCAGAGAATGGCACCGACATGACAATACCCTGTCCCTGTCAACTAATTTTGCTCCTACATTGTCACCCTGTCACATGGGCTTCTGATGAAAACTACAAGTGTCTGTTTCATCACTCAGTAGTAATTATCACAGCAATAAAATGATAGCGATCACATGGCACAGAGCTGCTCCAATCAGCTCTGTGCCTTTTTCTGCTGTCCAATGACAGTGGAAGCAGCGGCTTGTGCTTGCTCTGGGCAAATGTACATTTTAAAGGGTATACTAATACCTCTACTTGCAGCAATCACTCCAGCTATTGGATGGGTTTTTTTCCCGGAAGCTGGCGGAGAGGTGAATGTTTTCATTATTGATCAAAATAATTTTAATCGATCAAAAATGTTAATGATTAATCGGGTAATTAATCGTTACTTTCCCCAGCCCTAGTTTTTTTGAAATGGCTGGAAGGGAAGTTCAGTGCCTAGGAGGGTGTCACTGGGTGTGTGGATGGAGAACATTGCTTTTATGTGACAGGAACGATCAATAAAGAACGATGATTTGACGATTTCACTTGGTGTAATGGTGACATCCTGTTTCTTTGTGAATGTAAGCAACTCATTTTAATGTGAATCTGTTGCAAATTTTCTTACCTGGACATCCTGCTACAGCACTTCCTGTTTCAGCCTAACAATGCTAAGCCACTGCATTAGAATTCATTTGTCAGCCTGCCATTAGCATTCGTCCAGTTGGCTGTTGGGTTACCTTTCAAGTCTATTAGAGAAGCATGCTCCAACTGACAAAGAGTAAATGCCAGGCTGACAACATTCATGCTTACATTAATTACTTACTGGCAGTGGCTTAGTGTTGTCAGCCTGCATAACGCTGACAGGATCTCCAGGTAAAAAACTTTTCAACAAATTTGCAAAAAACAACATTGCTTATATTAGAACTGAAGTCAAAACTTTTTTTAAAGTTTTGGATAGAGTAAGGGAGGGAGGGTCATCTTCTTGTATTGTCATATGTTTCCCATCGGGGAGATTTCCCTTTACTTCCTGTCCAATAGCCACAACAGGAAGTGGGAGGAAATCCCTCCAAAGAGAGGGAAATCCCTGGTGGTCAGCAGGGTCACCAGAACTAGTATCCCCATTGAAATATTTCCCATCTTTTCCTCTTCTGGTGAGTGTTTTCATTTTAAGTGAAGACAGGAACCAGGACAAATAGAGAAGGGATCTCCCTAATGGGGACACAGACAGCAATAAAAACCTGACAAATGTTCTGATCCATCTCCACTCTACAATTCTATACAAAACTAAAAAAAAGTTTTGGCTTCAGTTGCACTTCATGAAAATTCTATACATTGAGACAGGGCCGAGCCAAGGGGTAAGCAGATTTCTCTGCCTTGGGAGCTTCAGCAGCAGGGCGTGCAAAAAGGGCAGGACCTGATACCTATGCTGCTAAAGTAGTTCATAGCGCATGAAGGTGGGGGGTGCTTCTCATCGGGATGGTTTCATCCCGATGAGAAGAAGCATTCATTGTTTCTCCATGTAGGACACTCAGCATAATTACACGAACGTATTCATTATCACCTATTATGAATGCTCAATTCTCCTATTTTTAGGTGCATTAGCTCGCGCACATCGCCTACAATGCTTTTAACGAGGCTTCCTCTCAAAAGCTCACTTTGTGGCGTCAAAGAGACAGTCAATGAGGAATGTTCAAACATCTCTGATTACCCATCTGACAGTGAAGACATTTACAAATCGAGAGCTTTGCTTGTCATATCGCTGTTAAAGTGGAAATCTTCATCTAACTTCTGTCAGTTAGAGAAAAGTCAGTTCACGGAGAGGAACTCAAAGTGGTTGCTCTGTACAAAGCTGACTTCCTAGTTGAAAGTGGATATGAAGCATTAAAGTAGATGTAGACCCAATCATCAAAATCTCTTATGATCTTTATTGGCATTTCAAAAGTCATTTTCCATTATTTAAATCTGTAGCTTTTATTAAAACAATCCCTAGTGATACTTCCTTCAAGGCTTTTGTGAAAGAATAGCCTGTTATGGCGTGACCAAACTTTTTTCCTAGAAGAAGATGAGTCATGGGCACTCCAGAATTGTTGAATCGTTGACTCATCTTCTTGTATCGAACGGCACCATCAGTTTACCACTATAGCACCCAACAGTCTTCAGGGACTTATCGGTCGGGCATGCCACGGGTTATGGACATCAAGCTTTTTTCCTGTCTCCAAATTTAGTCTTCTGCATTGTCACATGTACTCCAAATGGAGACTATGGCAGCCATGCCAATGCACATTACACAAGCATGATCCACTGTTGTCAGCATCATCACTGGAGAGCATGTGGATAGGAAGTGGCTGTACGGGGGCTATAGGAGTTCAGCAGGGATTATTAGAGATGAACTTGGTGTGAACCTAGTTAGGCTGAGTTTGCCCAAGCCCACTGAAAACTGTGACTGCCACTCCAGTCAGTGGCAGTGGTTGTGGCCGAGGCATTTCACGGTGATAACACAGGAGAACAGCTGGGAGACAGTTTCACCCTACTACAGGAAATACTTGAACAAGGACCTTCATGAAAGGATCACCAGACATTATTAGAGATGAGCTTGGACTTGGTGCAAACCTAGTTGGCCTAAATTTGTCCCAAGCCTGCTCAAAACTATGACTGTCACTCCAATCATTGGCAGTAGCTGGGGTGAGAGAACTTCATGGTAACAACACAGGATAACACCTGGGAGACAGTTGTCAC